AAATAAATTTTTTTTTTAACAAATAAATTTATTTCATTTCACCTATAAAATACTCACATTAAGTGTTTTCTTATGTAGGTAAAAGTCTGTTTAACAACCTGTTAAAATACACCAGAATGCAGGAAATTGTATTTATTTCTGTTAAAATTTTCTGGGGCAGGACCCCCAGACCTCCCACCAGTGGGTCCCCCCAACATTACAAATACTTACTCTTGTTTTTTGTCTCTGAATGTCATAAAATCAGTGATATTATCTGTGAAAATACAAACTGAACATCTGTTGGCAAATACATAGCTTCATAGTTTTCAATTTGTCATTTTTACCAAAAAAAAATCATTTATTTTTTTGTTATGGTTATTAGTTTTGGTGTGCCACCCCTGGTTTTTCATTGGCCCCCCCTGAAAGAATTTTCTGCAGGCGCCACTGCAGCTACAAAACAAAAGCAGAGAAMGKTTARATAAAAGCTAAATGTTTCAAAAGGCTAGCRAAAAGCTAAAGGCAACAAAATGCTGACTAAGTTTAAATTAACAAAGCCTGTTTTGAAATGAGCAGCTAAAAACCAAAGGTAGCAAGAGGCYAAGCACAGAAGAACGGTCGTTAATCCTTCTGCTGTCAAAATGACCCTTGAGGCCTCGGGGGGATTAAATATTTACAGAATTTACAGAAAATAATAAGGAAAGAACTGAAAATGATGCTCTTCAAATTTGTTTAACTTCATATTTTTCACATAAAATCGTCAGTGAGAAGCAGCAGGACGAGCTGCAGGTGGTTCAGCTCATCGTGTGAAAGTTCAAGTCCTCAGCTTTCCAGAAACACAAAGAATGAAGGCATTTAAGAGCGGCGACAATGAGACATTCAGTCGACAAGAAACCACGGCTTTAAAGACAAAAAAAGACCTAGAGGTCTCATAAATTACATTTTAGAGATGCAACTCTCACACCCACTTCCACCAGTAACAATCACCACTTCCTGAAGGACAACCACCACACGCACCAGTAACACACTGGGTTGGTCAAAAAAAGAACGGATGTTTGTGTCRTCTCCCATCAGCCTCTTCCACTCATGTAACAAGTGGTTTTCACTGGAAAAACCCTCAYAGATTTACACCAAAACAATGCAACATGAATTTACTTTATTGTTTGTCAAAATGCAACCAAACATGGACAAACAGCAGAAACATCCAGAGAGGCCATTCTTCAGCTGCTCTAACGCAACATTTACACTCTGGTTTGGATTTAAAAATAAAGAAGAAMAGACGGTTGCCAGAAAAAAAAATTCATTTCTCAGTTTACATGTTTGCTCCTTCACACATCTTGGATAAATGGATAAAGTTACTAAGTACAAATACTTTGTTACTGTACTTAAGTAGAAATTTTGGTTATCTGTCCTTTACTTTAGTAATTATTTTTCAGCGTACTTTTTTACTTTTACTCATTACATTTTTACACAATTATCTGTACTTTCTACTCACTACATTTCTTAAAAAGGTAAGAAGTATAAAGTTGTTACTCCTGTTTTATTCTGAGTTATTACNAACAGGACACTTTTCTGCTGTGAGGTGGGTTTGTCACCTACTGTCAGAAAATAATCAAAGACTGAACGAACCCATCAGTTTTACTGAGACCTGCTGGTAGTAGCTGAGAGTCATMCCTGAGWGTCCATCTTTCCTCTTTGAGTGGATCTATGAGTGTTTTAGGTTCAAATATCAGGTCTTCTGTCATGTGACCCGTTGTTGCTTCGTCATGACACTTCCACCTCCGTGCTTCACAGCTGAGGTTCTTCTTCAGATCCTCTGCACATCATTCAGACTCAGTTAAAGATGGCCACCACAGCTGATCAACATTAGCCATGTTAAATGGTGATAACTTGAGCTAAACTGTGATGTTTTATCTTCCAGTTCTCCCAGCATGTTCTGTGAGCTGGACTACATGTTGAGCTGTCAGACTGCAGCAGCTGCAGGTTTCCTGTCACTCAGACAACTGCTCTGCTTTTTAAAGAGCGGCTCTATGTTTAGCTGCAGCTCTCAGCACAACATGCTGTTTAAGAAGCAAACAGTGTGAGCTCTTCTGCACACTTCACCATGTTTATGAGCTTCATGTGCTGCAGACYGTCAGCTTGGTGCAGAAAACAGACTCAGCTTAAAATAGCAGCAGGAATGTGAGACGCAGTGTGATGACAGCCGGCTGCAGGTCTCAGAGTCAAAGCTTTGAGAGTTCATGTGAGTTTTTATCAAACAGAACTTCTCTTCTTACTGCTGGGATTAAAAGACTCATTTTTGTTTTTACAGTTTGAGGTCGCTGCATGCAGCGCCCCCTTCTGGTCCTCTCTGCACTTTGTGTTAAATATCAGGATCAGAGGAGGGCAGTGTCTGCTGAACCAGAACCTCAACACATTTTATACTATTTTACTTTTAAAGTATAACCTTTAGGACTTATTAATGTTGATCTTAAAATAATCTGTAAGGCCCTCTCTAAGAGATTGGAGAAGATAACGCCTTTCATAATTCATTCTGACCAAACAGGTTTTATAAAGGGAAGGCACTCATCNGATTTTTAAAATATTGTTGTTTGGCTTTGCGTAATTCAGCAACACATTTATTTCGGTAACTGCTATATTCGGTGTTCTGCTTGAACAAAAGTTTCAGTGAGTTGGCGATAATAAAACCTGAGTTTGGCACACGCCCACTTTAAAACCAGTCACRTCCAATAATAATCAGCCAAACCTGCAGTTTCTCCTCAGCTGATGTGAACGATTACCRTCCATCGCTGCCAAGCAGGTCTGTAATTGTTCATCTACGAAGCCCTGAGGATGTGACTGATTGGACGTCATTAAGCTGCTGCATGTGCGTCAACCAACAGCAGCCTCAAACCTACACTTTCCTCTCAGATGTGAGGCTAATGGTTCGGAACGTCCAGGTAGCAATTTAGGGCCTGTTAAGATTTAAACGCTTCCTATCGTAATCTGAAAGTATACATGCACCAAGTCAGAGACCAACACTCCACCTCAGCCACCTCAGTCCATGTCGGTGCACTGAGACATGGAGACATGTCAACATGGGGCCAATTGTTTTCACCTTTTCAGTTGAATCACTTGGAAATYACAAAATGGAAGTGGAAGTGTTAACGAAGCCATGTCCAGCTTCCATTGGAAGGAACTTTGGGCGATTTGAAACTCATGAATGATTGATATTTGACATCATGCCTGTTATCCCTTTAACTCTAAATCCTTCTTGTTAAAGCCCTGTCACACTATAAACTTTTAGACAACTTATGAAATGTTTTTATGTCTAAAATACTAATAAAAATTACAGATTTGATTGTTAGCAGTACAGTATATACATGCCTAAAAGAGGCTTCCCGTTGGTTTTTGTTTTTCCATCTTTAATGTCATGTCTTTAAAATTTTCACAAGTTGGATTTATTTTGCATAACACAATGAAATTACTTTGGATACCTCAAGAATCATACATGCTAACAACTTGGGATCATCTCTGGCCAGTTTGGTGACCAAAAACTGGATATTTGAAAAATAATTTTTAARTAAGTACAAATACTGTAAGTTTGATGTCTGAAAGTTACATCAGTTTCATCACTGAAAAAACTGTAAAGCTCCTATAAAATTCAAGTTCTCTATGATAACGTGCAAAGTGTAAAGGTTTCTGTGGATTATCAGTCAGTTGTTCAAACCCCCCAAAAAGTTTGKTTTTTTTTTTAGTTTAAAGTTTGTTCATTTAAAAACAACACAAATTCAACATACAACAAAACACAAATCACAAATTAAATTAAATGAAAGGTAGCAGAAGAAGAAAGAATCTTATAATCTCTGCCAGTTTTTTTTTTTTACAAACAAACAAATTCAAAGAAAATATTCTTCAGTTTACAATAAACATAAATAACAATTTCCTATTTAAAAACATGCAAATTTTACATCCAATAAATACAATATCAAAATAAAATGCAAAGGCAGCAGAAAGAAGAAAACAATCCTACATCTGCACCTTTTTTAACAAGAAAACATTAAATAAACAAATTAACCCTTAAGTAATGAAA